GTGCTAAGAAAACGAATAAAGAAAAGGGGAGAACGAAGAAAAATTATTTTAATAGGTATAAAGTATATTTGCTGAACAAGCCCTAAAAAAACTACATTGAAAGCGCTACGTTATCAGTGATTGTAGCAGCAAACTAAAAAATGTGTCATGACGATTAGGAAAAAAAGTTATATAACTTAGCATAAACACCACCTAAGTCATTGGTATTTAAATGTAAGCATTTATTTAAAAGTATAAATTGAGGTATACATTACACAATGAGATAAAGCAATACCGTAGACATATCTGTTTCCACTAGTCTGTGCATTAGTCATTATAGTATCATTATTATATATCTTTTACTAAGCTATATATCGAGACAAAACTTAGCGAAATCCTTAATTTAAGCAAAAAATAGTGCAGTATAGGAATGTTTATTTTAAAATCATGATAAGGCCTAAAGAAGCAGAGTAAACGATGATGACCTAGACGTCTCGAGTACAATTCATTCTGAAAGAATTTGGCTAAACGATTGAAGTCGCAGAGAGAATCATATTCTGGGCACATCAGGATTGGTTTCAAAAATATTTTAGAGGTCCTAGAGAGAGAAAAAGATATTTTCACTGATACGCACATGGATATAGCCAGCTAGGAAAAAATAATCTAAGGAATATGGACAATTCATTAAATTTTGACGGTGCCAATTAAAAAAACTTGTTTTGAATTAAGAAAATCAAAAAAGGTTTTTGCATCGAATCAGCAAAATCTTAACAAAATGAATAAATTTTGTATTGCCCTATCTGTCCTGGCCCATGGGCTACGTTGCTAAGTAGTGACGATACCATTTGACCAGTCCAACCAGATATAAAATCCCATCAGGAGTAATGATGAGACTAAGGCAAAGTTGAAACCGCTGTATTGATATGACCCGGTTTTCGCAACTTGGTCGGAGCGACAGGGAGATCTTGTGGATTATATCTAGTCTTGCGTCCTATGCCACAGTATTCATGATAAATTCCGGCATTGGACCACTGACTTAATACATTCGAGGACGTTTCGCAGGCGTGGGCAGAGTCGCCATCCTTAACATGGAATTGAGGCTCATCAAAGTGTCAAGTCAGGGAGATTGTCTTCACTTTTCATGGTGAGTACTTCTTGTCAGTTGATTATGGAGAACCCAACCAGGTCAACCATCATTCTGCTTGGCCTCTCATATAGAATTATGATAGAATATCCACCCATGTATTATACATACAGCATAACTATCGTATAATCTAGACATAAGAATTCGTTTTTGAATTAGGCCATGGTAGCTATAGAGCAAACTATACATTCATCAGTGTGGTAGCCTCAGAGCCTCACATTATATTTCGTACTGTAGTTAGGGATTATTTGTGGCGAAATATGTGTTCTGCTTACACTAGACGATAATAAGTGATGCTGAACGACATTAGTAACAGAGAAGAATGTATGGTAAACTTGTTTACAACTGAGGAATAATGAATCAAAATGGAAAATATTTGTCTTCAACTTATCCAATATCTATTTGCATTGGTTTGACCTGACTTTAAAGGCACGACAATAGTGTTAATAATAAATCATAATGAGCACACAGGTATGGTCAAAATAAATATAAATCACCATCATTCTTTGTGGCAGAAATTTTGGAATGACTGGACAGCTGAGAAGAATCTAAACTGAGCATTTTCTTTTGTAGATCTCTTATGTGGTTTTGGAAAGAAATTCCAGGAGGAATTCCATTTGATTCCAGGTCATGGATTACATACTTAGTGACCTCTAAGCGTTCTTTGATTTCTTTTTGTCGTTTCTGATATGCTTTTTTTCTATCTTGATACTGGCGCTTGATCTTATCATCCAATGAATATGGGTTAGAACCATTAACAGCAAAATCGAGGTCTGAATCGATATCGGTCAGTTGCTTCCAAAACCATTCTTCCAGATCTGTAAAAAATAGTTAAGAATGTATGACAGTTAAGTTAAAACCAGTATTCGATGGTCTAAAATATTTTCTCAAAAGCAAACAACTCAAAATTCAGAAGTTGTTTGA